TTCCTATAGAGGTGCAGATGCACAGTGGTGTGTGTGCTCAGATTAGGTGGCAACTGGAGTCAAGAGTAAGAGGCCATTTTCTTCAGCCCCAGGACACGTAGCAAAGGGAGATGTATGAAATGCCTTTTTGATCTCCACGGACTCGGGTGAGCTTACTGCAGACAAGACAGTGTGCAATGCAATAGAAAATGAAAAATGCAATGCAAGTTTTCCCTTTTCTACATGCCAATGAAACCACTGTATGTAGAATATGAGGATGCAGGAAACGTGATGGTATATCTAGTGCTGTGACCCAGTAGCCATGGCAACAACGGTGCAAAGACAGATTACCCCAGTGCTCATTTCCATCAACAGCAGACCTGTAGTGATTTACACTGGTGCCTTATCCACAAAATGAAAAGCTGCATTTCAGGTTTGTGTTACAGTTTCACCGGTTGCAAAGTTTAGCAGAAAAGAGACCAACAGCATCTTCTATACTGAGAATCCGAAGAAGAAAAAAAAAAATCACTGACAGAAACTGTTTACTTGTCTTTCATTGCAATGCAGACCTGTCAAGTCTCATGCGATGAGCATCAGACTTGCTCTTTTAGCCACTGCTTTCTCATTCTCCGCCATGGCATCTCCAGTTCATGCATCAGCAGAATGCTGTCATGCAGCCTGACGGGTGAGTCTTGTCTGTTGGGATTTTAAGGACTTGCAGAATCTGGCAAGGTCACAAACCCAAGCATCTACACAGCAGTGAAGTATCTTCATCTGTTGCAAATATAACAACCACCCTGGTTTACCCTATGACAAGACTCTATGTAGTTTATCTGTCTTCTAGTCTGATGAGAAGTCCCCACAGATTTTTTTCCATGGGTGTGCATCTGAGATCTGTGCTTGAGACAGATCTTGTCTTGTTTCAGTGCCACATCTGCCATCAACAGAATTTCTAGTTTCATTTCAGAACTTTATTTTGTTAATTTATGTTTGATTTCTTGATGAAATAATGTTTAAAACTGTCATTGGAAAGAAAAAATCCTGAGACCTTTAGTCACTATTTTCTGGCTCTCCACATTTCCTGTTTACCTACTCAGATATAAAGATCCCATATCCCAAGAGAAGTCTAAAGAAGGCATACCTCAACAGTTACATTTTGCAAGCCCAAGTCAGACTTGGAAACATGACAGACTGAGTCAGGGTGAGCAACCTTTATTGCTTAGTAAAAGACCCGTGACTCTCTTTTTTTTTTATTTTCTCTGCATCCAAAGTCCAATCCCAGGATAAGACAAATGGCATGCAAGAGTAAAAGAAATACTGTGTTTTAAAAGGTCAGGGGAAAAAAGAAAGCTGTTTGACATTAAGGAACAGAACATAAGAGAAAACATTGTCAAGATGTACAGATATTTCAAAAAGCTGGCATTTTGTATCTAGCAAGAGCCTTTATTTTATTAAGTCAAAAAACTGAAAGGATTTCCATTTTGATCTAATAACTTCAAGAGAGAAACAGTGATCAGTAGTTAGGTCTCTTTGCCTTACTATTTTCCCTCTTAATTTAGGCTTCTTCTCCTTCTGAATCTTACATGTTATTTTTATAGCACAGTCTACACTTTGAAAGTTTTGAAAGCAGAGAAAATATTTGCTCCTGATACATGCATTGAAGTTGTGAAAAGTTACATTGCATTATATGATTTTTGTTTATGTAGATCTCCAGTGAAAAATTGAGAAAGAGCTATGTTAATGTGTCCATCATTCCAGAATTCACTCATCCAAAACAACTCAATTGCACACAAACCAGCTGTCTCCTGGTGCTTTTGTTAATAAAAGATTTTTTATATTTAGTATGCAGCCCTGAAAGTTAGTGTTTGTCTTCTATGTACTGTAAAATTAGTGGATTAGATAAAAACAAACTGCTACAAAGATTGAAAAATGTCCTAAAACCACACTGTTCTACATCTTGATAAGCCAGATTGACTGTACTAGCTATCTCATGAGCAGCATGCTCATTTGAGGTTACTTTTCATAGAATCACAGAATGATATGGGGTTGCAAGGGACCTCTGGAGATCATCTAGTCTGGTTTTGTAATGACATATGTTATTTGAATGGCTATTCGCCATCACCTAGGGAAAAAATTTAAAAATTTTTTTTTCTTCCGCCCAAATAAGCAAATAATAATGGGCATTTTGTGTGCATTCCATGATCCAACATTTGGTATGAAAAAAAAATTCACTTTTGTGAGTGTTAGCAAACGAAAAGGAGGTAGTATAATCAAAGCAGTTGCTGAAAACCTGAATGGATGTTCACGAGTGCTTCTGCAGTGTTTCTACTATACCTGGTTCAAAGAATCAGATATTTTACTAAACTGGGTCTCTTGTATGTTAACACCTGGTAAAAGCATCTAGTTCATAGTAATGATGTACAAAAGAGAGCTTCAAGAACACCATGTTCCAAAATGTTAACATATTGTAACCCAGTGATTAGTAATCAACAGAAATTCCTGCCCCACGAAAACAGTGCTCTGCAGATAAGGATATTCAGGAGCATTCTAACAGCATGCTACTGGACTAGGGTGCGCCAGGTGCAAAACTTTATTGTGTCTAGCATTCTATTATTTAATTCTGGACCATTTCTTTCCCATGACATCTTCAAAAGCCTCTAAAGAAGACAGAAGCAAATGGACACAGTTACTGCCAGAAGAAAAATCATGAACAAAACTTGAGGAATGAAAAAAAACAGTATCTTCTCTTCAACTCACAAAGGAAAATCTTGAAGTTACTTCTTGTGTTTTTATGCCTATAAAAAATTAAACAAAGAAACAAAGTATTTTTTATACAGAGATTTTTTTACTTTAACATTTTAATAAAAACAAACAAACAAACAACAGATGATCCCATGCTTTAAAGAAGGATATATGACGATTTTAAAAGTCATCCTGCTTTATGTTCTGTTAGTTAGTTCCCTGATAGTTCCCTGAATGGAAGTTCTAGAGACTTCAATGCTAAGATAAATGCCAATATAATAAAAAGATGTGGAGGAGCTTTGTCTTGGGATAAATTTGGGAGCACAGCATCATTTAAATCTTGAAATTTCTCATACAGTAGCTGCAGTAAATCTACTTTAAAAGTTCAGTTAAATAAGAAATCCAGAATATCTACTTTCTAAACTCTATAATCAAAAGCTTCTCTGAATATTTTAATGTACTGTTTCAAATATCTACTTAGCTAAGATTTTAAATGCCATTCCAAAATAAGAACTGTTTTATGTAAAGCTATAGTTTTATAGATTAATGATTGTGTAATATACTTATAATGCTACCTTCAAAACAAAACTCCATAAAACAATGCTTTAATTGGAGGAAGAATATATTTGGTTTTCCATAACTGCAATTGGTAACAAATATAATGTGCCCTGTTTTCAGAGGGAAACAGGTTGTTACTCAAGATTTTTTGGTATGTATTCACCTAAAATCAATAGCAGGAATAAACCACAAAAAAAAAAAGTAATCAACTTTTAGTATGCTTATGCATGCATGCACGCATATAGATGGCCTAAAATGTTGAGCAAATTCATGATGTCTGCATGCTTGCATTGGCAGAAAGAGCAACATTCAGTGTTTCATGCAGGAGAGAAGAACTAGCTACAGAAATGCACAATGGCATACATCGTGTCTTTGAACAAAACTCCACTTAATTTCTGTTTTCATGTTATAGTGAGGTAGGTTTAAATAGCTGGAAGTGAAACTAAGAACCTGCAAGGATGGAATAGAAATACTTCTGACATCCATATTCACCTCTCTGTTATACAGTTTCCCTATGTCATAGCTCCTATAGGTGATTTACTTTATGCAGGGCATGCTGCATATGTAGAAGTGGGTGGTCCATGGGGCAGTCTGATGTTTCCATGCTGTCCTGGCCACCACTGCTGCCTTCTCTTCCTAGGGCCGTGTCTAGCTCTTGCATCTCGGGCAGGCACCTCTGCTGCTCACACCTACGGCTCCTTGTCACCCTTTTGGTACAGAAGAACACGCCACAACCTTATATCTCCATACATCACTGCCTATACATTTTTCTGCCCCTCTGCGGGCCCAAGGTAAGTGTGGACTCTGCATTAGAGGATGAGGTTAAGGAAAAAAGTGCCAAGAAGGATGTCTAAAGCATCTTCTTGACCAACAAAAGCCAGCGTGGGGGACACATGCAGAAGGTGGGGTTTTTTTGGTGTTTTACTGTCATTCCCTCGCGATGACTGACCTCAATACCCCCACCACGTCCCCAGGTCAGGGCTGCTGCCATGGTACGCCAGCAGGGCCCGGCACCGGCCTGCTGCTGCTTGCCCGAGGCCAGAGAACACCCAAGCGAGGAGAGAGAAAGCAGGGACCACGGCGTATGACGGATAGGAGGGGAAGCCATGGCGCGTGTTACCGTACAACCGCAAGGACATTAAACAGCAGCCGCCGTGCCGGAAGGCATGCAGCCTGCCTCGGCCGGGCTGTGGGGAAGGTGGAGGGAGGCAGGCGAGGGTGGGAAGCACGGTGGGCCCTGCCTGCAACCCGTGAGGGCAGCACCCCTGCCGCCGTAGCTCCCCCGGCCCCGGCCCCCGTGGGGCGGGGGGTGGTGGTGGGGCGGGCGCCCCCGGCCGGCGGGGCGGAGCGGAATCAGCCCCCTGCTGCGGGCATAAAGGGAGGTGAAATGGCAGTCGCCACGTCCCCCCGCTCCTGCCCTCGCCGCCCCGGGCGGCCTCGCCTTCCCCAGCCCCTCCGCCGCCCCGAGAGGAGCTCGCAAAGCGCGGCGCTGGCCCCGCCGCGAAAGGGCTGCACCGCCTCACTTCCCCCCCCCTCCCTCCGCCGGGCGCGGGGCATGTCGGTAGCTGTAGTCCTTTCCTCGGAGACCCAGCGCTGGGGGGCGGGGGAGAGCTGGGCAAAGAGAACCACAACTCCCAGGGGTAGCCGGGAGGGAGGGGCGGTGCCGGGGGGAGGAGCGGGGACAGCTCCGGTGCTGATCGCGACGCGGGTTTGTCGGCAGAACCCGGGCGGGCGGCGGCGGCGGCGGCTGTTGGCGTGCGCCGGAGAGCGGACGGCAGCGGAGGGAGCGGCGGGCCGCGCCCGGCGATGAGGCACGAAGCGCCCATGCAGGTCGGTCCGC